ATCATGAGCAATTATATGAGGGGATTAGAACGGTCTGACTGTTCAGGCACATGTGTCTTGGGGTTTGGGGTTCACGTCACTGTCCTCCCTGTAGACTGTGGGAGAGGGGAATTTGTTTGGCCCCTATGACTCTCCGAGCCCTTCTGAGTGGTAGCTGGGCATCTGCAAGTCGCTGGGCAGCGTGCCCATTTCAGAGGCAGCTTAATCGCAGGGCAGAAGCAGGAACCCTGCTGGAGCAGGTGGCGGAGCTCAGCCCCGACCAGCGGCTTCCAGTAGCCCGGGTCATTCTGTCCCTGCAGGCGCCTGCGTCATTCCCATCGACCCACTTTGCTCGTTCACATCTGCCCCGTGCCTTCCACCTGCAGAGCCCAGTGCTGGGTCCCCTCCCCCTGGGAAACCACAGGACAGATTCGCTGGACCCTGGAGCCCCAACTTCCTCTGATCCTGGGTGGAGGACACACAGAGAATGTGTGTGGGACACGGGGAGGTGCTGGTGCCATCCTCCTCGGTTAGGGTTTCTGTCTGGGCAGAAACCCCCACTGCGTGTTCTTCTTGATCCCTGTTCATTTTTTCAAACCCCTGAGAAATGCAGAGGCTGAGGCAGGAGGATTGCAAGCTCCAGCCCAGCCAGGACACCTTAGCAAGTGAACGACTTAGTGACATCCTCTCTGTAAAGAGAAATGATAATAATGAAAAACGGGCTGGGGATCCAGCTCCTTGTGAAGCCTGGCACCAAAAAACAAAACAAAACAAAAAGTCAACTAAAAAAAAAAAGAAACAAAAATAACTTCAGGTCAGTTCTCCGCAGAAGCCAGGTGGTCAGGAAGCAAATCCATCACAAACTGCAGCTGCCCGGGGCAAGGAACCAGGACTGAACCAGGACTGAACCAGGACTGAACCAGGACTGAACCAGGACTGAACCAGGACTGAACCAGGGCTCTCTGCTCTGACGCACACCCCTTCTTCACAGTTTTTCATTTTGAGACAGGGTCTTGCTAAGTCGCTGGGTCACTTGGGATGGACTGGAACTTGCGATCCTCCAGCCTCAGCCTCCCAGAGCGCTGGAGTCATAGATGAGGACCTCCAGGCCCTGGTTTGTTTCTGCTTTGATTTCTGCAGCGCTTTGGGTGGAACCCAGGGCCTGCTGAGTGCTGAGCTTGAATGAGCGCTCAGAACACAACTCCAGCCCTGTCTGTCTGCAGAGACAAGGTCTTGGTCTCCTAGGATTCTTCGTGAGCACCTGCCCCACGCAAGCCGCTCTCCTGTTTTCTGAAAATTTAGCCCTGCGCCATGCAACACATGGGAGCCACGGGCAGGCAGGGGCCGGTTATTATCTGCTCCTTTTTTGGACACAGAGTCTCACCATGTCATCCAGGCTGGCCTCGAACTCACTCTGCAGCCCAGGCTGGTTTCGAGCTCAAGGAGATCCTCCCGCCTCAGCCTTCCGAGTGCTGGGATGCCAGCCACAGACTCATAATTCAGAGTAACAGTACAGACTAGAATGTGAAGACAGTGCCAGTATCTGTTGTCTAGATGGATGGTCTGCAGATAAATGGTAAACAGACAGAGGCGGAAGATAGGTGATCATCAGTAGATTCATCAATGCACGAATAGATGGACAGATCATCAGTGAATAGCAGGTAGCAGACAGGAGACGGACAGAAGTGAGAAAAAATATTCCCTGCACACATCACCACCGGAAGACCGATACCCAGAATAAACAAAGCAATCCTAGAAGCCAAGAAGACACACACAGGCCAGAGAATAATGAGCAGATTGAGCTTGCAGTAGAGATTACTACAGATTGGGAATGGAGGTACGGGAAGAGGGAATGAAATGTTGACTTTGAGCAGTGCACATACGGAAAATCACACCAAACTCCATGCCAATGTACAACTGACGTGTGTGTATTAGAAACACTCACCAAAGGGAAGGGACCGGGCTGGGGATTTAGCTCAGTGAAACAGCACCTGCGTGGCAAGCGCTAGGTCGTGAGTTCGATTCCCGGTACCGGAAAAAAAAAAAAAAAAAAAAAAAAAAACAAAGGGAAGGGGCAGATCAAATGTGGGAAACTCTCCTAATGCGGTTCTACACCATAATAAAAAAAAAGTCTTGCCCTGCAACACATGGGCTATTTCCACAGGCATAATATGGAGGCAGAGAAGCCAGGAGACAACCTTGCACTTCTGTGAAGTTCCAGAACGGGCAGGACCGGTCCACCTCACTGGCACCCAGGACTTGCTCCTCCCTGCCCAGCAGGAGCACAGCTGGGCGAGCACGTTTCCGGGATTCTTTTTTTTTTCCTCCGGTACCAGGAACTGACCTCACGACCTTGCTCTTGCCTGGCAGGTACTTTGCCACTGAGCTAAATCCCCAGCCCCCCGTTTCCGGGATTCTGATGTGCTTGCTTCTCCATCACAACTCTGGCCACACCTCCGTGACCATCTGATGGAAATCAGACAGAAGGAGCACGCTGGATTTGTGCTAGAACCACCTGGGTTCTAAGCTCAGCCCCCTCCATCCCTGGCTTTGACAAATGAAGGAAGAAAGATGGAAGCCCAACATACCTCAGTTCCTCCATTTCAAAAATGGCTACCAAAGGGTCCAGCTCCTTGGCTACAAGGACCACAGAGCAAGCTAACTTACAAGCTCGCTGGCACTGTCTGAAACCATCTGTAGGGCCAGGAATATAGTTCAGCAGCACAAGCGCCTGCCTGGCAAGCACAAGGTCCTGAGTTCAAGTTCTGGTGCCAAAAAAAAAGGTTGAAACCATCTGTAAAACTTGTCCTGCTCTGTCCTGGCCAGAATCACCACTACCACCACCACCATCGTGATCACTATCGGTTGCCTTGGGCCGCTATAACACCATGACACCTCCCATCCTGTCCTGGAGCAGAGCCTGAGGTCCAAGTGGGGGCAGAACCAGCTCCTCCCCACGTCCCACACATGCGTCTTATGGGTGCGTCTATGTTCTCCTGTTCTCAGCAGGACCCGGTCCTGTGAGGTGGCGGCCACATCTCTCTCAGACCCCGTCTCCACGCACCGCACACCCCGAGGTCCCAGTATTAGGACTTGAGCATTTTTGTGGGATGTGATTCGGCCTCCAGTAACCACTGCCCATTCACCTCCATCATTTCTCCTGGGTCATTATGAGGAATTTTCTTCTAACCCACTCTCTCCATCTCAGCTAATGTTTGGTATTCTCTTCTGAACACCAACAGTGCACCAAAAGGACCCCCAGCCACAGCGGGTTTGGTTTGTGAAGTCTATTTCACACTAGCTACCCTGGACTTACACAAAAATACCTCCATGGGCATCTTTTGTGAGCACACACACACAAAAAAAATCACACTTTTGTTTCTTAAGATGATGGAAAATGTGTGTGAGAAAACATCTACTTTTTAAGCCCAGGGTAGGATTCCCATCTGTAAAAATGGTACAGACCTGTAAATCACAGAGGTCTGGTGAAACTGCCATGGGTAGATGATCTTTGGTGTCTGTCCTACGGCCAAAGAAGTGGATAGAAAGATCTGGTGTGCTACAGTGTGGACGCTGAATGGCCGTGAAAGCCTGGAATCAAAGTCTTGTTCTCACCCATAATTCCCTTGGGAAGACATCAAGTATCAGCCACTGGCTCTGGTTGGCTTTTACCCAGTGACCGGGGAACAAAAATACCCAGCGATGCACGACTAAGCGGTGGGGGTCTGCCAGGGAACTGCACCTCGAGATTTCACTTTTTGTGCACGCATCATGGAACATGCTTACATAACCTCAGATGCTCGGATGGTTTGGATCTTGAGTATCTCCAAAGCCTACAAAATGAGCTCAAGTCCAGCCTGGACTACACAGCAGGAACACTGTGTCTCAAAAACACCAAAAAAAAAAAAAAAAATGTCTTTTTGTTTTGAGAGAGGACCTTACTCAGCTACCCAGACCTTACTCATGGCAATCCTCCTGCCTCAGCCTCCTGGAGAACTGGGATGACAGATACGTACCAGCACAACCATCTCTTAAAACTTTTCTCTACACTCCCTCCTTCATGCCAAAAAAATTAGTGATAAAGTAGGCAGATGATGTATTTCAGAGACTCAGGTTTGTAAACTTCTGTAGTCCTGATGCTGTAGAGACTGCTACCCAGGAGCATTGTCCGGGTTATAACATTATCACATCACTGTGCACCTTTTATCTATTCCTTTTTCCTTTCCTTCTCAGTGCTGCGGATCCAGCCCAGGGCCTCGTGCATGGTACGGGAAGGGCTCTGTCAAGGAACGCGACCCAAGCTCTATTAAACTTCTTTCCTTACAGAAGTTTTAGGTGTCATTAACGTAACCCGAAGCTTCTCATGAATCCGTTACTTGTATGTCACAGCAACTGGCACGCAGAGACAGCTCAAAAACCATGGCATGAATGAACAAATGAAATGGAGAAGGCAAAGGTAAGGAAATCAGTAGCCTCTCTAAAGAGAAATTATGAAATCTTGGAGGATTAGAAAGAAGGAATTCTGTGTGCTTTCCTGGTACTCCCAATTCTGAAAGCTCTACCCTGTGATTCAAGTGCACTGCAGGAAAACCTGCCTCTGTCCCACACAAAACAGGATTCTCAGAACTGGGCGTGGTGGCGCACGCCTGTCATCCCAGCACTCGGGAGGCTGAGGCAGGAGGATTGCTGCGAGTTCGAGGTCAGCATGGGCTATACAGTGAGCTCTGGACCAGTGTGAACTGCACAGTAAAACTGTCTTAAAAACAACAACAAAAAAAAAGATCACACACAAGCCAGGTATGGTGGTGCACATCCATCATTCCAGCAGAGTGGGAGGTTGAGGCAGGAGGACTGCAACTTTGAGCCCAGCCTGGGAAACTTAGCAAGACTTTCAAAACGGAAAAGGGCTGGAGGGGTGCTTCAGTCCAAAGGCCCTGGACTCAACTGTCAACTTATCTGTCCCCACAAGAAGATTCTTGTTTCCAAGAACACATAGCGATACACACCAGGAGGAGGCCACGGGTTGCTTTAAAACTTTAATTCCAATACATGAGCACCGTTCCCCTGCGCTGCTACAGAGCAGATTGCATAGCAGAATTCCACGTGCAGCCTAAGCCTTACACCAGCGAGCTGCGGCCTCTATAAACACAGATGGATCCTCCCCTCCAGAGAATCACAAAGGATGCAAATTTGCATTTTCCAGGACGCGCCCGGTCTGTCTCCTTAAGAGGCTTCTGTCTTCCACAGCCCAAGCCCAAGCCACAGGGCTCCAACGTTTTCTCCCCAAAATATATTCAAGCTGTGGCGGGGGACCACCCCACCTGGCCCACAGAAGGCAGTATCCACATGGCTATTGTAAAAATGAAGTCCTGGAAAGCTGGACCCGTAACATCCACAGAGAGGGCAGCTTGTGAGCTACCCAGCCGTGGCGAGGAGCAACGCCTCCCCACACACCTTGCGCGCCCGAGCGCCACCCACGGAGTCGTAAGGTCACGCCAGCCGCTCCACCAAAGGGCTCACCTGCTTCGGGGGAGAGAAAAGTCCAAGGGGTCCACGCCATGAAAACAGCGCAAAGCAGAGCTCTGGAACTGCTCCAGCCCTGCCTCTAACAAAGCTATTGCTTTCTCTAGCACACTCAAGAGGAACAGACCCTTCAAGGCTAAAGAGACCACCCAGCCCTCTCATGGGATAAGGTGTCCGGGCTGAGACAGCCGGGAGTTCTCCCGGCAGAGCTGAACTGGAAATGGCTTTGGAGCTCAGAGAGATCCCGTGAGACACAGCACTGAGGTAGAATGCGGGACTGAATCTGTGGCTACAAACCCACTTCCTGCTCCAGCAATGATGTAGCTACAAGCCGCCGCCCCGACTCACTGCAGGAAACCTTTGAGCTTCCAACCTGGTAAAAACATCGGAGCAGCAGGGGCTGCACGCCCGGTCAGGCTGCACGTGTCTTCCCGACACCCCGGTTGGTCCCAACGGCCCTTGGAAGCAGCCTTACTACTGGAAGCCACGCAGACCATCTTGGACGCCCTAAAGAGGTGCCCCTGCCCCCCAGGAGGCTCCGAGACACCAAAACCAAGCGCTGACGGTCACCGTTGAGCTTCAGCAGACAAGGCAAAGGGTGGTTTATCTCAGCGAGCACCAATGCAAGACGGCGTCTCAGACTCGGTCCGGCAAACCTGAGTCAAACACGAAGCACGAACAGGCCCTTTGCACAGCCAGGGAGGGACGAGGCGCTCGGGCGCGCAGCGGCGGGAGGCTTCGGCTGGCTTTCACCATCACTCACGTACGAGGCACTTGCGCTGCTCGGCCGCCCACAGAGGCACGGAGCTGAGCAGCGTTTTCCTGGAAGGGGTTCGAAGACATCTCGTGTTCAGGACCAACCAGCAGGAGAGGACCCGGCGAAGCACGAGGACGGCGGCCCTCCACGCGGCCACGGCCCGGAGCTCACTGCAGGAAGCGGTCCAGCTTCTCCTGGATGCGGGCGAAGGCGTCCCTGCCCATGTAGTCCATGCGGCCCTCCTCCCACTTCCTCCGCGCCTCCTCCGGGCTCCGCTCCTTCACCTTCTCCGCGATGCGGATCTCCGACAAGGCGAGGGCCACGTCCACCTGCGGGACACAAGCTGCGGTCACGCTGTGCACGCCCCGCGCCACCCGGCCGGCGGCCGCCAGAGCCGCAGGGCTGAGCCGTCGGTTCCACGGAAAAAGGCGCCTCAGGTGTCCAAGGGAGATGGACCGTCAGTAGCACTGGTGTTATTTTTCAAAAAAACTAAATACACACTGCACCTCATATAATATTCTTACAACGTGATTTTTGCTTACATTGCTTGAGATTCTGTAAAATGTCACTAAGTGTTGGCTCTTTTACTAAGAAGTATGTCCAACACCTGACCTCACCCAATGCAGAGAACTGGAAAATATGTTTCAAATTTATCTGCTATCTATCTATCTATCTATCTATCATCTATCTATCTAGTCTATCTAATCTACCTATTTAATCTACCCATATATCTAGTCTACCTATCATCTATCCATCTCATCTATCATCTATCTACTTATCTTGCCTATATATCCATCCATCCATCCACCCACCCAGCTATCATCTATCTATTCATCTATCAATCTACTATCCCATCTATTTCCTTACCAACCAATTCATCCATATATCCATCTATCTCTCTATCCACCAATTCACCCACCCAATTATCTATCCATCCATCCATCCA